AGGCCAAATAGGTGTTAGTAAATGGGGGAAAGATGACAGTAACCTTTCAAATGAAACTGATTTTTTTCAGAAAATTTGTGAATAATAATTTCCTAAGATCGTCTGAAGATAACCTTGTACTTGAAACGTCTTCCATCTCTTTGATCTTCGAATGTGTTTCCGTTCGTTTGTGTATTGAATTTTCTGGTTTAAAGCACTGAACACGAGCTTTTATTCGTTGAGTATAAGTCTGTTCTTTGTTTTTCCTGCTCACACCTGGTTTATTAGGCGTTCTGGGTATGACGATAAATTACATCCGGCAGCAAGGCTGCTGATCGGGAGGTTTAGACGAACGTGAAACCACCTCTTGATTGCTGTTGTTCAAAGGACAACCTGACCCGCAATGGTAGCCATTGTTAGGGGCCCATCTATGGGCAAATAGTTAAATCAGAAACTGGAGTCAAAACACTATGAAAATCTAGAAACAGATTTTTATAATTAAAAACCAGCAAGACATTTTTAGAAAAAAAAATTTACTAGCAATACATTTTTGAAAAACAAAATTACCAGAAATACATTTTCTTAAATTACCAGCAATATATTTCTTTAAAAAAAATACCAGTTATGCATTTTTTAAAAATATTAGCAAGGCATTAACAAATAACAACCAATACATTTTTGAAAAAAACTTCTCAGGAATAAATTTCTGAAAAAAAAAATTGCCGAAATACATTTTTGTAAAAAAAAAAAATATTACAAGCAATACATTTTTGAAAAAAGATATCAGCAATACATTTTCGACTAAAGAAATACCAGCAATACATTTATAATATCTATCTATCTATCAATATATATATATATATATATATATATATATATATATATATATATATATATATATATATATATATATATATATATATATATAGCATGGCGTTGTCCGTGCTTGATTCAAAAAATCGTACGACTCATACAGCAATCGCTATCACTTGACTTAAAATATTTTTGCCCTTCCTTGCCTTTAAAAGAGTGCCCTTTGCCGTGCTGATGTTGCTACATGCCTTACTTCTTGCCAATCTCACACTGCAAATTTTTTCTAAGCTCTATACTAAACATTAAATCTGTTACAAAAAAAAGGGCAAACAAAATGAACACAAAACGATCAGCTTTAAAAAGGACTCGTAACTGGAAAAACTGAATGAAAAAAAGAATGTTAACAACAAATACTTTTTCACACCCAACCCAGTTCTGCGGAATCAGAATCAACGTTGAGCTTAAGCAAGCCAATTGGAGTAAAGTGCCATGCAGATTTAAATTTTTCCCACTTGTGACGAATGCAGCTATCGATTTTTTTCTGCATACTAGCATGCTAGTTAACATTCTTGTCAGTCAGCTGTTGGCTCTCACGCTGGCCAATAGAATCTTCCTGCCTATTCGTAGCAGCCAGCTACAGGCTCTTACTCTGGCCAGTAAAAAATGGGTGCAAACTACATGAAAAGTGCCGTAGAAGCATGAGAAAATCGATTATTTCCACTATCGATGGGAGTTGAGAAATGCAAAGTTGGTCTTGGCCTTTCCACTAACTTGGTGCATGTGCATGTAAATTTTGGTGCAAATCCGTCGAAAATTGCGGCAGTGCATTCGTTACACACACACATCCTGCCTTATATATATATATATATATATATATATATATATATATATATATATATAAAACTAAAATAATCCTAAGGAGACATGTAAACCTACCCAGGTTTCACCTAAACGGATCTTCAGAGTAAAACTGGCTAAAAAGGCTGATACATAAACAATATTTATTGATAAAACCATGACCACATGACAAGAAAAAAAAAACACCTAGAACATGTTACTCTAATCACCAGCTTTTCTCATGTCGGCACCTACAAAGAATTTCCGATTTTTGGTTTAATAAATTCTGGGGTTCTTTCTGGGTAGCAATAGTTAGCTTTTCCTCCATGAATAGTGAACAAAATTTATTGCCTGCCTTATATTTATAACCTGTTTTTTTTAATATTTGCCATTTTAAAATGGAATCATTATTGTCTTCCTGTTTAATCTTCCATTAGATAAGTGGACAGGGTAGTACTATGTTTATAGGTTTCGTGTTTTGAAACTACAGAAACTCTGGGTATGACCTATATAAACTTTAGGGTTTTTATCAGTACTATTAAATTTATTTCTATATAACTTTACCTAGTAGACCACACACTCATGCTGGCACTTGCCTTCAAGAGGGCATTCATCCTTTTTCTACAGTTATTTACATATATATATATATATATATATATATATATATATATATATATATATATAAGACTCGTCGCCTGACGATTGCATCGAATATCAAACAGACTGTCGCCTCTAAGTGTTGACTTCTATGTTCACTTTTATATTTGTATATTTAAGTATATATTTATATATGTATGTATGTATGTATTGATCGTTTTATCCCAAGCAAAGCAATAAATCTACTAAGGCACATGTTACTAAGTGTAAAAGAATTAGAAAAAGAGTAACATTATTAAATAGAATAGAAGAAGATGAATCAAGAATATATATGAGGTATTATGGCGACAAAGATGAGGACAATAGTCTGAATAATGTAAATAATGTACATAATACCTCATCTCAGAAATATAGACAGATAACAAAGGTTTTAATTTGTTTCTTACGTTTACTGTTCAGCACTCTACCTTATGTGGGTTTTTTGTTTGTTTTCGGGGGGAAACGGGGTGTGGGAGAATTAAGAACAGAAACATTAATAAAGAGCGGGAAGAGAAAAACGTAATCCGTTGACAGTAGATAGTGATTGACATTGCATTTAAATTTTTTAAAGATTAAAGTTGGTTTGCAAAACATGGAACCGGAAGGAAGTTCCACAAGCGTGAAGTGCGAGTAAAGAAACTGTTAGCATAGAACTTACGGCTACATATAACCAGATGTAATTTAAATTGATGAAATCCTGACGCCAGTCTAGGACTGTGCTTAAATTAAAAAATTCTAGGCACCATAGCGAAGAACTCATTAACATGAAGTATTTATTTTTAAAAAGACATAGAGAGGCAACTTTACGGCGTGGGAAAGTGACTGAGCCAAGCTGCCAGATCAGTACTAATAATATTGCAGATTCTTCTTTGGTTTTTATCAAAGTAGAAGCACCGGGCCTTATGTGGCAGTAACATTCTAAGCATGGTAGAAAGATAGACATATAGATATGTATGACAGATTCTGGGGAGAAAAATTGTCTCGAACTTTACAGTGAACCCACTTTCTTAGCTGACTTACCAATGGGTTCAATATAGAACCTTATAAATATTTAGAAATAAATAAAATTATGTGCAAAATTGATATTAAAACTATGTGAAGTTGGTTGACACAAACCTATTACATGGTTAGAATGCCTGAAATGGCGGTTTGATACGATTCCTGAATTTACGACCAGCTCGTTTAACGACTAGCAGATTTAACGACCAGCTAGTTTATCGATCAAGCAATTAGAACGACCCCGTCGTTAAGTTAGGAATTACTGTATTTTTTTTTTCATTTTCTTTGCTCTAAATTTCTATTGAAATTTTTCTCGTTCTCCAGTTTTATTTTTTCTCTTTTTTCAGTCTGTTTTCTGTTCTTTGCATCCATTTTTTTTTAATTTTCTTCTTTCTTTCAGTCAGTATTTAATATTTCCTCTTTCTCTTTTTTTTATTTCTGCAAATTCCTCCGTCCTGTTTTCTTTACTTTTACCTCAGTTGTTATTTTTCATGTCTTTTTGACATTTGCATATTTATTTCATAAAGAGCTAAACGTACAACTGGTTTGAGTCATAAATAATTTCTGTTTTGCTGTGTCAATGTCATTCTTCAACAAAATAAAGTACAATTGCATTTTATTTAATTCTATATTCACCATTATTTGCAGTGGGAAATTGTCATTTATCAGTCGGCTCTTTGATAATTTCTTAGTAAAATTCCTCAGGTTTCTGTTGTGAAATGATTTTCGACAAAGTTCTTGCATCTGGTTTTCATGAGATTCATTCTTATCCATGAAGGAGTTTTGCGACGATTCTTGGTGTAAGGTCAGATGAATTTGGTGGGTGAAGATAGAACAGACGAAACGAATTCCGGCTTTTTTCTGTTTTATTCTTACTCTATGTGACCAAACGTTGTAACAGAGAACAATATCTTTCTTTTAATACACTGTGTACGCTGCCATAGCCGGGCAAAACTAAGGTATGTTAGTCGACACCAAATTTATTCTTAACTGCCGCATAGGATTTTTATTTTGGATGATACATTCGTCATTAAATTGCTTCCCAAAAGTGAACCTCATAGAATGTTTCCCGTTCGACCCATATTCCCAAAATCTGACCAACTTAACAAATATCAAATATATATATATAGATAGATAGATAGATAGATAGATAGATAGATAGATAGATAGATAACTCTGCTCTTTTCGAAAAACCCTCGAATTTTTGATTTGCCAATAATCAAATCAATCTCGAGGGAAAAAAAAGTTTTAAAAAAAGAAAGAGCTACAAACTTGAAAGTCTGTCGAAAAAAAATCGCACAGATGCATATTTGAAGCCCAAAGAAAAAACCCCGATACGAGTAAACAACTAACTAACAAAAGCGCTCAATACAACCGTAGAGCAGACCTAGATAAACCTAGTGAGCCAGACAAACCTACTTAGGTTTCACCTAAAAAAGGATCGTCAGGGAAAGTCGGCAATTCGTCAGGGAAAGCCGACTTTCCTGACGATCCATTTAAATGAAACCAGAAACGTTGTCTGGCTCACAAATTTATATATATATATATATATATATATATATATATATATATATATATATATATATATATATATATATATATATATATTTGGTGGGAGGATTGTTCTTATCTTAATTATATATCTTTTCTTTTCTTTTTTTTTTCCATATCGTCTATCTCTTTTTCTTTTCACTTGCTTCCATTTTTTCTCTCATTTTTTTGCATCTCATTAATTTATGAAGCATTGTTTCAAATTTTCTGTCTTTCCTTTTTTTGTTTCGTTCTTTTGTTTTCTTTTCTTATTGACTCTTTCTCTCCCTTTTTTTCGTTCATTTTTCCTTTCTTTTCATCTTAATAATTCTTGTCACATTTTTTTTCTTACTCATTTTTTTTTTACTTTCCATGGTTTTTGTGTCTTTCTCTCCCTTTTTGTTATGTAGTGGTTTCACAGTGGAGGCTTGTATTTGTACTAAGTCGCTCCTAAAATAGGTTCGACGTACAAAACGTTAGGAACTTGATATAATAGGTAATGACACAGTTTTCTAGTTGAGGTGGCTGATACTTTAATATCCGACTAACGGTCGTCCGATATCGACTGACTGATCAACTCACTGAGCGACCGACTCCCTCATTACTCTTACTACTCCTACTTATTATAGGTGGGAGTGTCTATTAACTATAGAATAGGTGTGTTCTACTATAACAATTTTCTTCTTCCATTTCTTCTCTTTTTATCTTATTCATTTTTTTCATTCATCCTTTTATTATTTTCCTACGTTTTCTTTTTTCTGTCACTCTTTCTCAATCTAATTTCCTTTTTGCTTCCTTTCTTTTTTCCTCTCTTACTATTTTCATCCTTTCTTTCTTTTTATTCTTCTTTCTTTCTTTTCTTCTGTTTTAACTCTTTTTATTTCCCTCTCTTCATACCCATTCCTCTTTTCCCTTATTTGTTTTGTTTTTTTTTCTTTTCTTCCCATTTTCCCTTTTGTCTTTATCTCTTTAACTCATTCTTTTTATCTTTTAAACTTTTCACTCATTTCTTTCCCATTCTTCTATCTCGTTTCTTTTTCACACCCCCTTTTGTTTACTTTTTCTTTTTTCTTTCCTTATCGCTTGCCCTTTTCTTTTCTTTGTTCTCTTTCACTTATTTTCTGTTTCGTTCTCACTTTCACTTTCACTTTCCCTTTTCTTTCTCTTTCACTTTTCCCTTTTCTTTTCCTCCTTCTCTTTCGCTCTCCCTTTTCTTTTCTTCTTTCTCTTTCGTTTTCCCTTTTCTTTTTTTCTTTCTCTTTCGCTCTCCCATTTCTTGTCTGCTGTTTCTTTTGCTTTCTTTTTTTATATCTTATTCGCTTTCCCTTTTCTTTTTTCTCCTTCACTTTTCCTTTTCTTTTCGTCTTTCTCTTTAGCTTTGCCTTTTCTTTTTTCTTTTCTTCTTTCTCTTTCGCTCTCCCTGTTTTCTTCTTCTTTCTCTTTCCCTTTTCTTTTCTTTTTCTCTTTCGCTTTCTCTTTTCTCTTCTTCTTTCTCTTTTGCACTCCCTTTTCTTCTTTCTCTTTCGCTTTCCCCTTACTTTCCGTCTTTCCCTTTAGCTTTCCCTTTTTTTTCTTTCTCTTCCACTTTCCTTTTTCTTTTTTTCTCTTTTGTTCTCCTTTTTTTCTACTTTCGCTTTCGCTTTCCCTTTTGTTTTTTTTTCTCTTTTGCTTTCGTTTCTTTTATTTCTCTTTCACTTTCCTTTTTCTTCTTTCTCTTTCGCTTTCCCTTTTCTTTTTTTCTATTTCACTTTTCCTTTTTTTTATTTCTCTTTCGCTTTCCCTTTTCTTTTCTTCTTTCTCCTTCGCTTTACCTTTTCACATATATAGTAAGGATCTTTGAAAATTCATTTTACTTTTTCTTTTTCACTTTCTTCTTCTTTTCTTTGATTCCCTCTCCTCCCACCCTTTTTCTTGAAATCTTACATAATCTCTTTCCATTTCTTATTTTTCATTCCTCCTCTGTCTTTTCTTCTGCTTTTTTCCCCCTCTTCTTTACTTTTCATTCTTCTTTTTATTTTAAAGTATTTTTTTTTATTTTCATTTTTCTTTCATTTTCATTTCATTCACTTCTACTTTATCTTATCATTGTTTTTTTTGGGGGGGGTTCGTGTCTTTCTTTATTGATTACTTTTCCTTTCTTTTTCGTCTACTTTGTGTTGCCTTTATTCTAATCTTATTTATTCATTAATTTTACACGCCGTCTTTCTTCATTTTTCATTCATTTCTTCTAATGTATTTTCCCTCTTCTTTCTTCTCATATTTCTGCTTCTTTTTTTTTCCTTTTTGCTTCCTTTTTAATTCCTTCTCTAACTTCTTTCCTTTTTTCTCATTTCTTACGTTTCTTTCCATCATATATTTGGTCTTTCTTTTTTCGTTCTTTCTCTACTTTTTCCATTGTCTTTTTTGCATCGTTAGACCTCCTCTGCCCGCCTCTTTCATTCATTCTTTCTTTCTTTCTTTCTTTCTTTCTTTCTTTCTCACACTTTCCTTTTTTTTCTTTTTTTTTTTTTTTTCGCTTTCTCGTTATCTCTTTTCTTCTCCTTTTCGGCATTTCTCAGTCATTTTGTTCTGATTATTTTTCTTTCTTTTTTTCTCTTCTCTTTCCACCTTCATTCATTTCTACTTGTTCCCCTCTCCTGTTATTCACCTTTTATATATTATTATTATTATTATTATTATTATTATTCTTTTTCTTCTTCTTCTTTTTCTTCTTCTTTGTTCTTCTTCTCATCCTCTTCCTTCTCCTCCTCCTCCTTCTTATTTCCGATTTAATTGTATTTTCTCCTTTTTTTCCTTTTCTACTCTTTGCCTTCGTTGTTCTCTTTGAATTTTCTCTCATCTCATCAGATTTCTTTTTTCTTTATTTCTATTTTTCTTCTTCACTGCTTTTTTTTATTTTATTCTTTCTTTCTCGCTGCTTTCTTTAGCTTATTTAACAATTTCTTTTTGTTCGCCATTTCTTTTTCCCTATTACTCTCTTCATCTCGCTATTCAAGGAGGTTTCTTTCTCTCTCTCTCTCTCTCTCTCTCTCTCTCTCTCTTTTCCTTTTACTATCCCTACCCCTGCACTCTAATTACTGACCCCTCACCAACACGACTATTACGCGCTATCTACCCAGTCATTCTACAATCAGCTTTCCAATTTGTCACCTACTCTGCTCTTTTTCAAATTCAGTTCCCTAAAACAGACCCGACATTAAGGAACTCGTCAAGAGACAAGTTGCATCTGAAGTCCAGATTGGGTGAAGAACGTAATACCTGAGCGGGAAGTAGAGGTGCTTTGAAAGGATTTGCTAATAGCCATCAGCGTAAATTTTACAGGGTCTTAACAGCCCCAATGATAATCTAAAGAGGATATTTTGGTAAAAAAAAAAAAGAAAGCAAGAAAGGAAAAATACAAATGGAACGCAGTAAATTAATAAACTTCAAGACTAATCGGCTGTCCCTGCCAATAGAGCAACTCTTCAAGATTCTTGAAAGCCAGGCGTCTGGTTAATATCGCAGGCGTCTATGACGTCATGTCCTGACGCGTAAATGGTGGGAGGAAATGGACAGGAAGTGCAATAATGAAGAATAATAGTGAGAATTTTTGGTGTACGATGTTTTGATTTTCTCACTAGTTTGGAGAAATCTTATCACCATTTTTTTTAGCTTCACCAATAAATAAATAAAAAAATGTTTTTAGAGGAACGACGTTTATTCCGTCTGCGGTTATGGTTTCCTCATATAATCATCATCCGTATTAGCGCCATGATCCTTGTGAGACCCGGATGCTGTCCACACTCCTTGTATGCAAACTAGCCGTAAACGTTTCCTGCATTTTTATGAAAAAAATATTTTATTCTTATAAGGTCAGAGCATAGTTATTCAATATTCAAAAACTCCTCTCAGATTTTCGATGTCCTTAAACTACAGTAAATTAAAATCATTTCACTCCAAGCAAGACGATAAAGTCACTAAGACGCAAGATATTACTGGGAGTGGAAGAGAATGATAAGACTTTAATGAGAAGAAAGGTCAACAAAACAACAAGATTCAGAAAGATGAAATATGGCGATTGACTTTGGATTTAAAATTTTGCAGATTGTGGGTAGCAGAAAAGGGAAAGAATGGAAGAGAGCTCCACATGTGAGAAGTGCGAAAAAAAGAAACTATTAGAAAAGAACTTACGGTTAGATCTAGCGATTTCAAGAGTAAAATGATTAAACATAGTAACGAATTTAGTTGTACGCTTAAATTCGCATGGTCGAGATACAAAGGCGGAGAACATTAAAATAAATCCGAAATCTTGCCGCATATATCATTTCAAAATCTGAAACAGCAAGCTGGTATCGTTTCAACGAGCAGGTCATATACTTTCCACTCCCAACAAGGGTCTGTGTTTTGAACGACTGTTGGGGAATGTTGCGTATTTACAAAAGTCAGATTAGAATAAACATGGTGTATTGCTGCCACATCTGGACTAGAGATGCAAAATTTTAACTTTCCTGCCTTGATAGAGCTCTTCTGCAACGCTTAATCTTTACAAGAGTCAGATTAGACCTAAAATGGTGTATTGCTGTCATATCTATGATGGAGATGCCCAATTCTATATTTCTAGTCTTGTTCGAGCCCTTCTGTTACGCTTAATCTGTGATAAGAAATATAAAGGTGAAACAGGCCGCCCCCTTAAGGTAGGATTGAAAGAGCATCGTAAAGCCGTAACACAATGGAAAATAAAAAAAATCAGGCATAGCTGACCACATATGGTGAGAAAAGAGTTCACCGCCCCGCCCTAGTGGGATGAGATTGATAATAGCGGAGAACATCATTGAAAATACGAAAACTTAAGGAATCAGCACATATGCTACGCCACTAAAAACTCCTGAGTCGACCAAGCATAGAAATGAATACAATATGAGAACCAGTAATACGGAGTACTAGAAAAAAACAATAACAGCAACAAAAATTGCAATATTAGTCTGGAAAAAATATTTACTGAGACATTAAGAATATAAGTCCCAAAAATTTGTGCACTGATATCGTCAAGGAAACATAACCCAGTAGATAAAAGGGTTGGTCGGATCCAGTGATTTGATCCAAAGAGTTGTGAGTTCAATACTTGGCTTCTGCAGTGGTGAAAGAAAGCCTGCAGAGTTGAGTTAAAGTGAAACTTCTGGAAGAGGCTTGACACGTGGAACTAGAATAATCTGCCCCCGGTAGACGAAATAAAGTGTTCAGTTCGAAATTCGTGATTATGGCAATAAAAATGAAGACAACAGTCCAAACAATGTAAATAGAATAACTTATGTCAAAAATGTAAACCGATATCAAGATTATATATTTTTTTTTTTTATTTAGGAAGAATGTTAGAATAATCCAGAACATGTACTGGGAGCACACCGCCTGCAGACGCGTAGAAAATTGAGTAGATATAAAAAAAAAAAAAAAGTAGAAAGGGACTTAAGACAAGGTCGCATCTTCTTACCAGACTTCTTCAACCTTCACATGGAGCTATCCTGAGTTAATTTATCATCCAGAAAGAAAAAACTAACAATAAATTTTAAGAAATGAGAAGGATCGTCGGAAAATATTAAATTAAATATAAATGGCAACATGCTGGAAGGCCTTGTTAGATCCAACTTCAGAGCATTTCCGAATTCTGACGAATAATTCCAAATAATAATTCCGAATTCTAACGAATAATTCCGAATTCAGAATAATTAAGAATTCCGAATAATAATTCCGAATTCTGACGAATAATTCCGAATTCTGACGAATAATTCCGTGTTCAGAATAATTCCGAATAATTATTCCGAATTCTGACGAATAGGTCACGAAACCGGAATTAGGACAAGAAAAGTGCTGTTTTGTCACGGATACAGGAAAAAGAAATGTAATAATTATGATTAGAGTGATATTGGAGACAAAAATACAGAAAGATGCAAAATTATGTTTTATAGATAAGGCAAAAGGATTTGATAAGGTGCGTCTCAAAGATCTATTTTACAGCGAGGGCATCCTGAGAGAACTAAAAATCCTGCTATGATTCATTATTGGCGAATACAATCTTAATAGCATATGATATATACAGGGTGCGATAGGCAAATTGACGCCATTTTATATTTTTAATTTCGCGCATGCGCGTTGCTTGTTTCTGATTTTGTCGGCTGCACAGTATAGTAGGGTCAGTTGGGCACCGACTGTGAGAAAAAAGAACATTATAACGCAATTCACTCTGCCAGAAATTTAGAAACGTCATGCTGTACTTCTTGGTATTCGCACCGGAATCCCCAATACGAATATTTCAGCGTGTTTGGGTGTCAATTTGAGGACAGTGCAGAGAATTCGGAAAGAGTTGAGTGAGTTTAATGGTAATTACAAATGTGTTTAGAGTGATCACTAGTGATGACGACGTTATGCCTCCATTTATCTTCCCATAGGGTCTCAGATTCGACACGAAGCCGACATCAAGTACCTTGAGGAGAAGGTGCTACCCTGGGTCAAGAGAGTGGCTGCTGGAAGACACTATATCTGGTAACGGGACTCTGCACCATACTACGCAATCAGTAAAAACCAGTCATGGCTGTCAGACAATTTCTGCGACTACATCACCCTTTACTCATCACCCCTAACTCACCAGCCTGCATCTTCCTTGATTATTATGTGTGGGGCGCAGTTGAGCGAGAGACCAACAAAAATCCTTGTAACACCAAAGATGACCTGAAGGAAAAGATTATAACAGCATTCCTCAACTTAAACATGGAGACTGTCCAGAAGAGTTGCAGGAGATTTAGAAGTCATATGGAGGCTGTGGTTGAAGCCAATGGCGATTTTAATGAATAAAACACGATATTTTTATGTAATTCTACATTAATAATATCTTTTAAATGAGATGTCAGTGTTATTTTCATTTTTGCGCAATTGTGACGACAATTCATCCATCACACTCCGAATGTGACACTTTATCGCAGATGCAGAAGAAAAATTGCGTGTCGTACTAGACAAGGTAACAAAGAAAATTGAGAAGAAAAGACTAACTATAAATCGTAAGAAGACAAAATATATTTCTGTCAGAAAGGGAAAAAGCCCAAGATGGCAATTTCTTTAGATGCCGTATCCCCGTAAGACGTAAGTGATCATGGCTCTCCACAATTTCCTATGCCTTTCAGCATTTGATAAATTTTGTCTTTTCTTATTTCTCTTAAGATTACTGAGTATGTCATGCGTTTTTTCCTTTATCCTTTTTGCCCTCAATTTGTCCTGTGAGTATCAGATTTTCCAAGACCTCCTTTCTCATTATATGCCCCAGAAACCTCAACTGACTCTTGCTGATGTTAAATATTAGTTTCCTTTTTGTTTCAATTTTCTCCAAAACTTCGTTGTCTACGGTATCCTTCTGTAGAACCACATTCTTATTGCTTCATGTTACCTCTTCATCTTTGAGGAGACCGTCCAGCACTCACTGCCATACAAGAGAACAGATGTCACATATTTAAACTATTTACATTGTTCGGACTGCTGTCCTCATTCACGACTTGGAATCCCTAATTATTTCAGTCTTTACTTTAAGATCACATGCTTCTAATTAACAAAAATATTACTTAAAACCAAAAACATGATATAGTCACTTGACCGATTACTTGAGAAACCTACTTGATTCTGTCATCAAAATTTGACTTGCCACTTGCTAAATATTAAAGAAAAAAATTTTATGGAGCATTTAACACTCAGAGAATATATCGAAGGGGGCAGGGGAAGTCAGCGGGGGCCATCTTATTGACCAGCTTGTGTGAATGGATGCCGAAACAGTGGGAAAGATTACTAAACTACAAAAGACAGGAAGTTGTGGAGAGCCACGATCGTCCATGTCATGAAGTGACACGCCCCATACAAGAAGAATGAAAAATTACCATTTAAAATTCATTAAAAAAATAATTTTTCACAAAATTTCTCTAACTTCTTTATGTGCCGGAAGTGTCAGATATTCCAAACCCTCTTCTTCATTATGTGCCCTAAAAAAATCCTCTATTGTCTCTTCCTGATGTTAAATATTAGTATTGTCTTTGTTTTTATTTTCACCAAAACTTTGTCGTTACTCACGTGTTCAGTTCACTAAAAACTCAGCGTCCTTCTGTAGAACCACATTTTTAATTCTTCCAGTCTCCCCTTCATCTTTGAGGAGATTGTCCAGCACTCACTGCCATACAGAGGGACTGATATCACGTAACAGCTTAATGCTCTTTTCCTTGTTTCTAGCGAATTTTTCTATTTCTTAGTACT